CTCTTTCATTCACTCCTGTGGATTCAGCTGCTGCCCATGACTCCCACATGTCTGCCTCCAGCCCAGATCTCTCCACTGAACTGCAGAACCAAACATCCAACCACCTGCTCGACAGTCCTCTGCCGAACTCAACATGCTCAACCCTGAGCTATCACCGTCCCCACACCTGTTTCTCTGGGATTCTGTGGCTCAGTGAGCTACAGCACCATCCCCCAGGTCCTCAGCAGCAGCCTCCCAGTCATCCTCGACTCTTCCCTGCCCCCTCACCCCCCACATCTAATCAGCCTCACTGATGCTCCTTAACACCTCTCATTTCCATCTCTTCCCCCTCAGTGTCACTGTCTTAATTTAGGCCTTTGCATCTCTTGCCTGGAGAGCAGGATCAGCCTCCCCATCGGGTGGTCTCCTGCCACCTTAGCCCCTGCCCTCCCCTGGCCCTCCACCATCCATCCTCTGTTTAGACTGTTAGAATGCTCTTTCTGAAACACAAATCTGATGTCACTCCCCTGTCTAAAACCCTCTATGGCTCCTTGCAGAAGAAAGGGAGGAGAGATGGAGGTTTTGGGATACAAGCAGCTTATGAGGGTGAGGGACAAGGGAGGGTAAAAGGTAACTGAGGTCAGGCCATACTTCACTGCCGGGGATGGGTTGACACAGGCCACTTTGACCTCTGATCTTTGACATTTTGGCACCTAGCATGTCACCACCCACCTAACTCTCTAGGTTTTCAATTAAGTAGCGCAAGGGCCATGCAGGGTGGTGAGGCATCTCCCGTAAGGGAGGGTGTGGCCTGGCCAGGCGACCTGCCTCCTGCTCCGAGCCTGTAAGCTCCGGAGTGTGACCTGCCCGGGTCAGGATAGTGCGCTCCCACTGGCAATGGGGAAGGAGGCCCCAGGCCTGCAGGTTAAGTAGGGACGCGTCTGAGAGACAGAGGCCCCTGTCCCTGCAGGTGCCGCAAGATGATTGGGGGGGTTACCCCACTGGGGGCAAAGACGGGGAGATCCCCTGCCGCAGGATGCGGAGCGGCAGCTACATCAAAGCCATGGGGGATGAGGAGAGCGGGGACTCCGACGGCAGCCCCAAGACGTCTCCCAAAGCGATGGCCCGGCGCTTCACTTCCCGCCGCTCCTCCAGCGTGGACCAGGCCCGCATCAAGTAAGGACTG